ACTGGAGCACTGACTTCACAATGTTCCCAAGACTCTTTCTAATAGATTGTACTTTTGAGTGATCTTAGAGTGCATCTGTAACAGTTGAGCTCAAGCAAAATGAGTTTTTGCACAGAAATTAATATTGAACTTATGATAGAAAAGAATTATCACATTGAAAAATTTCTACCACTATTTTAAATGTAATTTTTTGGGGGAATTGGTATTTCTTTCCATATCCTATTCTCATAACATGTAGATGTATGTCTTTGTTGGCTGACATGGCACCCAGCCAAACTTTGAGTTACTTTCATCATGAAAAACAATGTTAAAACAAAGATAAATATACAACGTTCTGTTTCTCGAAACATTTTAAAATGTTTTAAAAATCACTATTTAAATTCCAGGTCTTCAAATTTTAAAATACTCATAAAATAGTTTTTCCTGTAGTCGATTGTAAACATGTATTGTTATTTGCTCCATACAGCTCGGTGAATTATGTCTGCTGCGTTTAAACACAGCTCTTTGTGGAGGGACTGACATGGTTTAAACGAGATTGATTACAGGGCAGATTTCTGAATTCGCCCAGGCATATACACTTCCAGACAAAGTAAATCCATATGAATAAAGGCCAGTGAATACATTGACTTTTATTCAATGTTTGTTTTCAGAAAGTGGTATTTGTTGATCTTTTCTCTATTAATGTGATCTGTATCCTGGCAGGTCTAATTTGAAACAAAACCACTTACAACTCTCCTCCTCGCTTCTAGGTTTTTGGATGGGTGTTTTATTTGGAACCAGATAATGAGGGGAGGTGGGCCATACTATAGCACCTCGCAATATGATGGGAGTGTGTATTTCCAGAACTCTGTTCTGTCTGAAATAGAAACAATGAATGGCACATAATTTGGTTTAAAAAATACAATTTAGAGATCATTTTTGTGTGACAAACAACATACTGTACATGTATACAAGGTATTTTATTTGCACTTTGGAGAATGTCAGACATGAAAACATAGACCCCTGTTGTAGAAAAAATAATCCTGTTTACCATTATAGCTATAAGACAGCCCAGGGGGTCTTTGTATTGCTGCTGCTATAATTATAGTACAATAAAATGCCATGTGACTGAGTAATTTGATACTATACAAACTTTTTTTGGATATTTGATATACTGTATTTGCTCTATTAATAGCATATGTGCTTGTATACATAAATGTAGTCAATATAAGTCATATTTTATTGATATAATAGTGGCGATCACGTTATAGATCTCAGCCGCTGCCGAGATTTGGGGCCGAGCTGACACATGCCCAAACTTGTGTGTGAACGGTCGGGCCAAATCGAAGTATGCCGAAAAAAATCTATCTCTGTCCCAATAGTGAGTCAAGACTGAAACTCGGCATGTACTGAGATTTGCTACCTGAACACTTTGGACTAATTATTAACCAAATTCACACCCTTGATGATGAACTTGAGAGAACCCATACTGATTGACATCTAAAGACATTGTTCTCGAGAAAACAATCTACTGGTAATACTTAATTCCTGTTATTCTACAGTCTGCACTTTCTGAATTTGGTTTAGTAATGTTTTATAATGGTTGAACTAACATGTATACCTTCCTGGTTACTGTACTGAATAGTTATAGTTAAAATGACTGATAATTTGTATATTCTTAACAAGTTTAGGAGTTCCTTAGCCCGTGCTAACCGATGTTCCCTCCCATGCATGAACATAATTGGGTCTTGCCGATCTGCAAACATAAGCATAAATCTTAGCCTGTACTACCTGTACTGTGTAATCTAAACACTATTATTGATTTTAGTTATATGTGATATGATATGTCACAACTTTTGATAAAATTAAAAGAAATTTTTCAAGAATGCTAACTGAATTTTTTGTGATATAGATACTTTAACCTTTTCACTGCCAGTTCCTTCTTCTCATCACAAATTCACAAAATAGTCTGAAGTTTCGTTTAAAAGATTGGGGCAAAAATGGCCAAATTTGTTGAGAAATAAAGTGCAGAAATAATTGGGCGAGAAAGTCTGGTGGTGAAATGGTTAAAAGATTTGATTATTTTGTATTTATCTGTCTGTTTTTTATGCCTGGCATTATATGCTATTGTTTTTTTCATTTATATCATAGTGATTTATTGTTTTAAAAAAAAGTTTTTTACATATCAATTAAAAACATTTTGCATTGATACCTATTATAAATAGTTTGTTCAGTTTGCGTTTTTTCTTTGCTTGGCAAAATGTCTTTGCCGTATTTGGTCAAACATGCTAATTGAGTAAACAGTTACTGTAGTTTTTCTGCATTAATGAGTATTTACTTGATACATGTGATGAAGCTTTAGAGGTTTTATTGTCAGCAGTATAAAAGGCTTTTAAACCTCAAATGACTGTATATTCCCCTGAGCACATATATATGTCACAAAAAAAATATCAAGAATCAGTTGTATTTGAAAATAAATAAATAAATGTATGAAATTAAATGAACGTTAAAATCATGTAGGTATAGGCTACAAAAAAAAACATAAATAAATAAAATATGGGGTAAAAAAAAAAGTTTGCCTTTTATCGGTTTCTCAATTTGCCTATAATTTCAATGAAAAACCTTTGTTCCTGACTGAGATTGAAAATACAGCTCGGAAGATATAAACACCCAAAATTTACACCATTTGTTATACAACTTAAAATAAAAAAAAGTGCGTTCCTGATAACATCGAAAATTGTCACTTTCCAGTTAAGCCATATCAAGTTGCAGGGATGGTATGCTAAATCTAGACAAACACACCTTTTACTTTATTTTAGTTGAAATATTGACCATTAGATTTTTTGAATGTTGGTTATATATCTTTACTGTTTGATAAATGGTAATTAGTTAATTGTTTTTAGTTTCTGTTTCAATATAAACTTCCATGCATATGTCAGTACTACACCCTGATGCTTCAGTAGAATTGTTAATAGTTTGTACAAAAATCACACAAGTACGTAGCACTAAAACTGACAGGAAAAAAAATGGTGTTGTAAATTTTGATTGTATATCAATATAATTATATGGTTGTTCCTGGTAGGTGATTTAAAACCAGGAAATGCATACAGCAGTATAATTTCACTCAAAATACTAAAAATTTGAGAAGGGGTGGACTATCCAAAACCCCAGAAGGGGAGGTGATAGAAACAGGGTGTAATTTATATTCTTGGTTTGGTGTAGCCAAAAAACAAGGACTTATAAATTGACCTTAAACTGTGTATATGTGTGGACCAATCAAACTTCAAATTTCACAAACCAATTAAAAATGGCCAAATGGCATATCCTTTTTTAGTGTTAAAATGTTATCAAAATCGAGCATTTCTGTCATTCTAGAACTGGATCTTGGTCTTGTTTTAACAGATTTGATATTTAAATACAAAAGACTGAAAGAAACGCTTTGATTTCTGTGTTTAATATCTAGCATGCGTTTGATTGATTCTCATATACCTCGTTATTTACCATACCCTTAGTTTTCACGAGTTTAAAAAAAAAAAAAAAAAAAAAAAAAATCCGACTGACCGACCCAATTTTTAAATTTTCCAACTTGAGGGCAACATAAGTTTTTTTTTGGCCTGATTATAACAAATTTAGTAATTTTTTTTTTAAATATTAGGCATCTTCACAAGATGAGACTGAAAAATGGAGGGTTTATATTCTCAGCCTTGCCTGGGTAAGTATATTATGAATAAACATGCTACCTCAGCTGGTTTAACTTTGTCTGTTTTCTCTGCTTCGATACCGACACCAGAACATTTGCTATCCAATTCCTGTTTTGCCCACTATAAATCTACTTATCTCAACCTTTAGCCTTTAACAAAAACACCAATCATGTAATAAATGATGTCGGTACCAAAGTTCACCATTTGAATAAATAATACATGCCCATATTTGTCAACTGGCGGATGATTCAAACGGCAAAATCATTCAGGCATTTGCTGTTGTATTTCTGTTGGCTCTTGATGTAATATTTCCAAAGTTGTAGTAAAACTATGTACAATTGTGAGATTGTTGTGTTAGTATATATATATATATAGATACACGTAGATGTTGAGTAAAATATCGTTCATTGGAACATCAGGAATGGAATGTTTTCTAATCCAGAGATGAATGTATTTGGTGTGCGGTACTTTGTCAAAGAAAACTGATAAAATGTTGCATTATAATTATGACACGATTGTAGCAGAAGTGCACACTCCGAAATGACAACTCCTGACAAATGTACTTCTTTGTCAGAACAAAGTCCCAGAAAAGTTATTTTGTCAGTATATTTCCTGATGGCTACTGCCTTGTATGTTTTTGCAACTTGGGTATATCAACCTCTATACCACGTTGCCATTTACACTGTACCATTGCTGACTTCAAGTGTGTAGTTGTAACACTCTTGAAGCAACAGCAGTTATGCAAACTAGTATGTAAATTTTCACTGCCACAGTGGTTTAAATTTCCGGGGCGAACACTAAAGTAAGTCGGAAAAATATTCGGCCTCAGCAGAGGTGCCCTCATGAAAATCACTAGCTAGCGAACTGCTTATTCTATCAAAAACATCCATCAGTCCTTGGCATGTGGACTTCACACATGCTTAATCATGAAGTTCAATATGGTAATATAACCATGCACATGTTATAGGCATGACATGCTTCACAGAAATATAACCATGTTGCATGGTTGTGGGTTACTAAGAAACTCGCAAACTGCACTCACTTCTATAAACATGTGTACGGTATATTTATCTCAGTATATGCCTATAATCAGGAATATATTGTTGTTAATTCTCTGAATGTATAGGGGAGGATACCAGACGACTGCCAGTTATTGCCTGGATTTATGATTGACATCCAAACAGCTTTGAAGGCTGAACAAGAATTAAAAGCACCGACTGGAGTGAAAAAAACACCACTAATATCAGGCAGTTTAAGAACAAGAGGCCCAGACAGTTCTGTGAAATCATCTAATGGACGTGGAAGTACAAGCTCAACTTTGTCAAGAAATTCTTCCCATGATAGTTGGCGTTCTTCTCGGAGCAGTTGTGGTGTAAGTTGTGGATGACATTATTGTTTACTGTCAACTGCTTGAATTTTTCAAATTTTGCGAGTCATTAAAATTTTGTAACTGTATAAAATTATTGCGACTTTCTTCATGAATGCCATAAAATCCTCGCATTTAATTTGAACACATTTTTAACGAATGCGCACAAAGTCATAAACTTGTGTTTACACCAGCAATTCCTACAAGAAGTGTGAATATGGTGGCCAATAGATAATGCATGCAATGTCACTGTCTCATAGATGGGCAGCATTTCAGGTGACCATATATTTCTGTTTTTTGTGTACTATATAATCAAGAAATAATAGTTTATTATAACAATTTTTGGCCATGTAAAATGTCATAATATATACACTTTTTGGTTCAGTGAGCTTATTTTTCTAGCTTAATGTTAGAACCAGTCAGTATATTTGGAGTTTATCATTGTATACCGGTTGATTAACAACCTAAACTGCCCTAAAATCTCACAAAAATCACGAGCCTCCCTAATTTGAAATAATTTAAGGTAAACTTGCATACATTTGTACAGTTGATTGTAGCACTCAAATTCAGTTTTAATGTACTTACAACACTCTTTGCAAATGATCGTCGATATTGCCTCTGTCAGCCATATTTAAGGGCCTTTTACAATGATTCTCATCCATTTTTATGCCAACCTCTCTATTATGTAAATAGATAATAGTTCCGCAGGTTTAAGCTCTGCTAATGTATATTAAAATGGTACAGTACAACAGAAGGGAGATGCGGCTTCTATTAGAGCATCTGCACACATGAGAAACGATGAGTTTTTGGTTCTCAAGTATTAAAAAAAAATGGTTGCGGCTTCTATAAGGGATGTGGTTTCTATTATAGAGGTTTAACGTTATTTTTAAACCCCTTTATGTTGGTGTAACATTCTCACATCTCTTTTTCTCTTATGTCAATTAATATAAATTATGTTGTTCTAAAGAGAGACAAAAAAAAGATATGAGAAAACGGTATGGGAGTCATTTTATTCAGGTTTAATTGTTGTTTTTTATTGGTTACTTACAGTCAATGGAGTATCGGTTTTATGATGATCATTTAAAGAATTGCAAAGAAGCCACTTGGTTATTTCACAACATAACCAGAGAAGATGCAGAAAATATTTTATGGAACAACACAGACAAGGGAGACTTGTTGATCCGAGAAAGCGAGTCATTCAATGGAGATTATGTGATCTCGGCGAGACTACAGAACAATGATCAAATATATTGTATACAACACTATCACATCATGAAAAAGGGAGAATTGTTCAAGCTGGACATTGATGAGGAAGTATGTTTCTAACATTTGTTTGCAAAAATAACATTTTAAAAATATTAAGGCAGTTCAACTGAATTCAAATTGTGCATTACTAAGCTTGCCACTGCACAATGCATTATGGGAGAGAACTTCCTATTGTTTATAATGAAAAAAACTATTATCACAAGGTACAATGACTATTAAAGAGTCAACTTTTTTATATAGGATTCCTATAATATGACTTGTCACTGAGCATATTAATCTTGCTATATAAACCAGTGCAAAATGCCAATTTTTGACCATTATGTTCTATGAAATTTCTGACTCATTTCTCAAAATATTTTTCGTCGCTCAATTTTATTTTAATATTTTAATTACCCCAGTAGTATCCTTAAAAGCATTAAAGATGATGCATATAATCTTTAATTTGCCTCCTTATAAAATAAAATGTTACTAAATTTTGCTTTCATTACAGCATCCACCTGTACTGAACTTGTACGAAATGTTGAATTATTTCATAGACAAAACTGATGGTCAACTGAGGCCACTAATGACCAATGACCTTACCGAGTTAAAATTACCAAGCAATATTTATTCAAGGGAACTAGGTAAGCAGGGTGTTGATGAGTTAAATATGGCATTGTGAAATGTTGCTTGAATTTATGTGTTTTTTTGATAGTTTTGATAATATGTGGAATATGTGTACATTGCTAGAAATATACAAAGATTCAGACCAGAATTTCTTTTGTTCTGCGTTATTTAAGAGGTGGTGGTGGTCGTTGCACCGTGTCATGTTTAGTATAGAAATATATCAATATACATGTATGCCGTACAATATGCGAAAAGTACCGATACATTGTTTGGTTACATGAATATGTACATGTGCTACTTGATGACTAGCGCTCTTTAACATATAACAAGCATATCAACATGAAATTTTTTATTTATTTTTAGCATATCTTACTGCAAGGACAGTGAGATAATTTTACAAAAAGTTTGCTTCACTGTAAGGGGGGTTAAATCTTAACAAAATTTACTGTTCTTATTTCTGGTAGTTAAAATTATAAGAGCTGATCAGGATCCTGATAGTGGGGAATGGGGTCCAAAACCTGTGTCGCAAGAAGTGATTGATCAAGAAGATTATTTAGTACCAGCAGGTACATATAATAATAATAATAATAATAATATGAAGTTATTATAAAGATACAATAAGACACGTAAAAAATCTTGAAGCGCTATAATTGTTTTGCAGCGTCACCACGTTCTGCTCGATATAGTGACGTATACAAGTTTAAAGTACATTGTTACATTGTTTACATGAAATTCACACACATGTTGCATGAGGACTGTAGCACTAATTTAAATACAACAAATAATATCTGGATATTTAAACCACTGTGGAACACGGTATAATTACTTTATTTGCACTGATATAGGTGCATTGCTTTAAATAAAAATGAACATATACCGGTACTAACATTTGCATTTTAGCATATATGCTGCTTTATTACAACCTATTGTACAATTGTTTTTTAATTAATTTTGTTGATTTATATTTATCTACTGTTCTAAAAACAGTACTCTCCGCAAATCACTTGCTCATTCATGTTCCATTAGAAGATAGACACAAAGTGCAAACACTACCACCAGAACATCAGGAGTCAATAAATTCAGTTTGTACTTCTATTTCAGACATCATGCCACTGACTCCTGACATCAACAGAGCACCAGATCCACCTAAAAATGTAAGATTTGAGTCATTACACTTATCATCTTAAATACAGTGTCTATGTTTTTGGCTCCAGTCATTTGAACTTCTTTTTTTATAAAATATCATTGCTAGTCCTGCAATATGTGGACCAGGATATGGGGTCTTTACATAGTTTTCTGTTCTACATACATTTCCGCAAAGCTTTTTTTATCTTGCCAAATGACATAAAATGATGACAGTTTCTTTTTCACCTATAATGCACACATAATTAAGGTAGCAACAGGGGGAATCCCGTCGTTTAGTTAAAATGATCTGAGCAACCCAAATCAAAACATATTTATAGCAAACTATATATTTTATGAAAGCTGAAATATTCAGGAATTTGATAATTCATCTTTTGCTATAATTGTTTGCATAATGGAGATTAACTGGACCCTGTCAAAATAACAAATCAAAAAGTTCTGCCTCGGCGATTTAACCATTTGATTGGGGATTTTCAGAATAATTTCGCCGTGAAAGGTTCTTATAAAGTGTTGAACGTTTGTATGTGATTATTTTTCTAATAATTATCATAAATACTAATTATTTCTTTCATAAAATTAGTCACTAATGAAGCTCAGAGGTCATAAAACAAAAAACAATGGCAGCAAAATTCTCCCTGTCGACACTTTTATTGTTTGATATCCTGACACTTGCAAATTTATATTCTCTCAATCCTTTACTATCTTGAAAAAGGTTGTTTTTTTTTGTCTCGTGCAGAAATGCTGCAGAAAAGAAAAGAAAAAATTTGATGGGGAAAAAAAATACATATGTCGGTACCATGTTTAACCTAACTAGCAGTTAACTTTTTTTTATTTAGATTCCCGAAACGCAAGGAGCAACAACTGATGACGTTTTTTCTCCCCCAAGAGGTAAGAATCATTTTCAGTATGCTAATTTATCTCAAATACAGCATACTAACAATTGCCAAAATAGACTAGAAAGTATATCTATTTTAAGCAGAGTACCCTCAGTGTGTGGAAATTGTCTATTAAGGTGCAGCGTAGTGATATTCCTATTTTTTGTGACTTAGGAGTAAATGTCATCCTAATGCATACTTAAAAGATGATTAAGTAATTTAGTTTACAAAATGTTATTCTTAAAAACAAATTGCAATTCCAACAGCAACAGGTAGTTGTTACCAATTAATGTTAAAATTGTGTAGTACACATTGCATTTTTGATGACAGGTTAGTGCAATGTGTAAACTGCGCCCTTTCAGAGTGATTGGACTTCATTATATTTCAAACTGGTTTAAATGACTAACAATTAATTTGATAAAAGTTTTGAAGTGAAATTTGATCATGCAATTTAATTATTACATAAATCAGTTAAATTAAGAAACAAATAAGTTTCTCTTACCCCATATAAGCACGTGCATTTTTCCATCTTAAATTTTTTTTTTGAGTGGGTATTACGTTATTTTTGGGGGGAAATAAAATTGCAAAATCAATTGCATTCTTGATTTCAACAACACTTTTACGATGGAGAAACAGAAATGGTCACAAAAATATGCACATTTTACTACAGTTAAAATTATAGAAGTCTGTAAAAATAGTCAAAATTCAAATCTTCATGCATTTTAGAATGTGTTCAATCATACACAAACTTGCAATGCTAAGTATTTACCACCATGATGTTATCTTGCACGATTTGACACGCAGTTTGGTAATTATTTTACTTGCATAGTATGAAAAAAATAAATTTAATTAAATATTTTTTTCCACATGGCATTATTT